GGAGGAAAGTGAAAAAAAGCTATCAAATATTTAGTCTACTCTGTGTTACAGAAACTATTCTAAGCCTATTTGAAATTCCTAAGTGGCTTCTACTGCTGGAGCATCATTACACATCTAGAAAGATTTCCTGCATACAACAAATTATTCTCTTCCCTGTTCCATGCCAATTCTCCCAATTAGATCACCAAGATTAAAGAAAACCCTCTGTACTCTTTCTGTTCTTGCCTCTAATACTGCCGAGCATTGTGTCTCTCAGCCTTTGTTATTTCCCCTGAACAATCTACTTTTTGGTTTTTAACCTTCTCTCCAAAGGGATGTGCTAAAAATAGCAGCTTTTCTTTGAAATCCTTGTAATTTATCGATACCTTTTGGTCTGGTGCACACACTGAACATACCTCAAGTGTGGTTTTAGGAAAGACAGGAAGGTGGGTACTTCTATTTCCCAACAGCAAGAATTCACTTGTAAAAGCAAAAAGTAAAGTTGCAACCACTTTTAAAAGAAGGAATTCTTCTTGCTAGCTCTACAGAGCCTTCAGACAGGAAAATAAAATACCAATAAATATTCCTTACACTTATAATGTACTTGCTATTGTAAAAAACTATGCAGCATACACATACACTGCAGAAATGAGTAACTGTCCATATTTCTTAGACATCATTACTGTGCCTGAAGCATATACCCTAAACTGGCTGTGTTCATATACCATTTTGTGTGGGAAATAAGTTTGCTAACACAGAGAAAGCCCCACAGGCAATCCAACCCTGCTGTCACAGCTGCCTTTACTACGTACGATTACATCTGTGTCTGCTCCGCGCTTCTTGATTCATCTAATGAAGCTCCAAGTGAAGCATGAATATTGCATGTGCAACATGCAGTAACAAAAAGCCACAGCAGATATTTAGAAGTTAATTACATGATAGAAGAATACTGGGCATGATATAGGAAAGGTCTCCTCAATATTTCAGCACTGCCATTCAAACGTGGTTTCTGCACACGGATAGTGCCTAACGGGATGTTCTCCAAAATACACCTTATGGAGGCACAGACTAAACAGAAATTCTTTTTAAGTCTTCCTTGTTCTACAGTGAACTAGATATTTTGACATTCTTTCTGCTTGTTCCCTGGTTGTGGGTTTTCCCTTTTCTTCCTTTCAAATTAAATGATACATCATGTATTTCTTCTGGCAGGCTGCTTTTAGCATACTGCTGTGGTCTAACACAGACAGTGAAGTTACTGAAGGGCTTGATTCCCCAACACCAACGTGCAGCTGCTTGAAAGTTTTCACTGAATCTGAGCTCATTACTACACTCTCTTCATTTTCAATAGAGGAGTCGAGTTGGGTGTCTCCTCTCGGTGCCTGGAGGTATTGAGCCTCCCCCTGCTTGACACACAGGATAAATGACACGATGGAAGCTCATCACCTCTCTGCCTGTAGAAAGGGAGAATGAAGAACTAATTCATGCAAGGTGCTTAAATTGAACAGGACTAAAGATGGATGAGAGGAATCCAACCTTTGCTGACTTCCTTCTGTCAGCCTGTATCTTTTTGCTCTGCCTGCAGGGTTTTGGAGGGGGGAGTGGTGGTGGTGGTGGTGTTCGTTTAAAATCTGAGTCAGATACTTCTATTACATACAGTTAGAAAGACATCTGGATCAGTCATTTATAACGCCAATTCCCAATTATGCTGGCCTGCAAACTGAGGAGGCAGTACCTCCTGCTCCCAGTACACTTAAATCAGAAGACTCTATGACCCCTTCTTCAGCCACTACTGTGGCAGTATTGCTAGCACAGCTTTTCAGCTAACACAATGAGAAACACCCATAGGAAAATCCAGAGCTCCACAATGCAGATATTGTTTTTGGTTTACTCACAAACAGAACACAGTCACAGGTACAGAGAACACTGTTGTGATTCACTCATTTCCAAAGCAAACACAGACTTCCTATTTAAGGAAGAGCAGATTTTTAGGGCCCTCAATTAAAATTACTTGTTTGAAACTGAAGTCAAGCAGCCAAAGCTCAGAAATTACAGATTTCAAGTTCCTCCTCTGGCCCTTTTTTGCCTCTCTGTGGGAAACCATTTTGCACAATGAAAAGGAATCAAGGTCCTATATGAAAAACAGTGCCTGACCGAACAACTAAAAATAAGAACATAAGATGCCCAAAGCAGGGGAAATGAGCATAGTGCTTAACAACTCCCTCTTGACTTTGCAAACTACCAGGTTTTTCCAGGGCACTTGCATACTCTCTTCCCACTTGTGCAGAAAAACACCCTACTCTATTCAGCTGTACTCAACACCAGCTATTTGCAAGATATGCAGTGGGGAAGAATGTGCCTGGTCTGTGCAGGAGCTAGCTCTTGCTGGTGCCCGGGCACAGCCTACCCTAGCTTCCTTCCCCTGCAGGCAGCAATCCCACTCAAAGGAAGGAGCAAAGAAAACCTGGCAAGGAAGAGTTTCAGCTCAATCTCAGCTTCCTTGGGACAGCCTAGTGCAGCCAGCAAACATGTTTTATCTATTCACAAAGTGAAACAGCTACAGTACTAACACTGAACAGCATTAGATAACCTGCATGGAAAGGTCAATTTTCAGACCCATTTAATTACTTAACCTTTGATTTAAGGGAATCAAGAAACACCTTGATTGCAATTTTTGAACTTTGCTCTCCAATCCAAATGCAAAATGGCACTTGCACGGTAATGAACCATACTGGCTCAAAGTCAGACCAAGTTTTTCCCAAACCAATTTGCATCAGAACTATACCACTTTAACAACAAAACTAGTTGTTCACCATTCAACTTCCAGTTCACTCAACCCATCTGTTAGGCTTTTTATCCAGCTAGCACATGGTTTGAGGATCCTCTCATATTTTTTTCATCTCTGTTTCCAAGATTTAGATTTACTTTTCTGGATCTACCTGGGGATGGCAATGAAGGAGAGGGACCCAGCAGTAGGTGGCAGCTGAATAAAGGAAAAAAAAGTTCACAAAAATCATGTAATTTCATCATGAAAATGAGATTTCTTCCTTCTGTGTGTTTCAGATCCTACTGTGAACTTATCGTAACACAAAAGGATGATCAGCAAGTATGATTTTCTAAAATTAGAATGCAAGTTTATGAAAATGTGAATGTTCCTGCTTACCCCAGATCCCAACAAACCTGAACAAACTGTCAACAGTGTCCAAGGTACACCTCTTCTTTAACATGAATAAATCCCTCCTGAAAGTCACTTTTCAGATCTGCAGAAACGAATGAACTATTTTTCTGTTTCAGAGTTTCCATTAGGAGTTATGGCTGTGAGCAACAGAAGAGGAACCTGAAGGGACAGGCTGACTAAAACTGTCTTCAGGAAAAAAAGAAAAAACCAGTTATCTCAGAGATTTACTGGCCTGTGAAACCAGCACTACTGTGACCAAGAGATTTGTACTGCCGCGGTATCTAACTGTTCTTGCAGAACAGTATAAATCTGCATTTGTCTGGCCTGGATTTGAAAGAACCAATAGCAAATTCCAAAACTATCCAAAATAAGCTTTTAAGTTACTTTCTTTAAGTACCCATGGATTCTATATGGTACTTAACCTCAGCACTTCTCTCTGACACAGCAGCAGCACAGCTCACCTTGTAGGCACACAAGAAGATAATACTTCCACAGATGTCTTTGAAGTTGAAAAAAGCCATGAATCCATCATCATCATTATAAACAAGAAATTACAAGGCTAATAAAGAAATTGTTTCTCTTTCCTTTCCAGTTGCTTTTTTTTTATAATCTGCCTTTTTACCGAACACGTATCTCTTCAGATACTACAATACCAAGCTGTTTCAGGTTACTGTTTTCTACATACCCTTTTTTAAGACACAGGAGTGTGATCTTCATCCCCACCATAGAAGAAAGAAAGTGAACATCGAGCATTTACCACAACCTGTTCAACATCCTACAGGGAGCCTGCAGCAGAGTCAAGATTTGAGCCCACACATGTTATTTCCTCGTCTAATCCTCCCACACCTCAGTGCATTCAAAGAGCCAGTCTGCATCCTATTTTCTCATACTTAATCTTGTTGAAAAGTCGCCTTGATTATACACTCCTCTACACACTGCCCATTGGTTGCTCAGCCCTGGAGACTGGAAAACTGTTTATTCCGGGATTTCAAACCTCCCGTCACCTGCAATTGCAAAGTGTTATCTCTGACAGGTTACAAATGTAAGCAGCAAACCCAGGAAGCCAACATGTGTAGCATGAGCAAAATTTACAAGCTGTTTAAAAGTTTTGTGGGTTTACTTTCATTTTTCTTCCTACTCCAGGGACAACAACAGACAAAAAGGCAGGTGTATGACACTACGAGCAACTGGCCTCACAAAAGCCACACCACTGAGGACAGGAACACAACTGGCATTCCTTAAAGTGAAGCGTCCTAACAGAGGAATATACCGAGCAGGAACAAAGTAAGGTCACTTCAACTGAAGTCAGCACTTTCTAAATAATCGACATACGAAACCCTGATTGACTTGCTTGTCTTCTTCTGTTTTGCTGTGACAGAGACCATCTCAGCACCGGCATCCTGCATGATCTGACAAAGGTGACTTTCCATGGGAGGAGTCTAATGATATTTGGGTGTTTTTCAAAGACAAGTTTGGGTGGTTGATCAATTTTAAGAATAACTTAATTTTTCATCATTATGGAGGGAAAGAAATAATCTGAAAACGTAACTAATCACAACCTAAAAGATCCGTGAAACAAACGAATAACTCAGCTTGCCTTCTTTCTGGAAGTCTTACGATACTGCAGAACATGACTCCAAAATTCTTAAGATCTAGGCTTCAAAACACTGTTATTCAGACCATAATACAAAGAAGTACAGAGCTTTTAGACAAACAGACAAGTATTTGTTAAAAGAGAGAGAGAAAGGTCCTTAAACTCTAAGTCCTGCTATAGACTGATTGATGAAAAGGTCAGACATGGTTTGTTGCTGGTTTTGTTGTTACTTAAATCATCAAGGTTCCTTACCTCGAAATTCCAGCCCTCTGAGCTGAAAGGTGACAAGGCCATTTCCAATTTCAATCAAGTGCACAAAGGCATTTAAATAATCCGATGCCAGAATAAAACAGTCTCCTGTGCTGTAGTTTCCCCAGCGGCCCAGAATCAAATCTCCACAAAGAGACTCCTGCAGAGATCTTGTCAGATGCTCATAAAAAATAGAGTTGAGATTATTGTCATCATTTCCTGCAACCAGAGCAGCACACATTTGTAAAGAATAAAATTTATAATACATTGAGCCATTCTGCATAAAATCCCACATCCTTTTTTATTCCTGCATAAAGCTTCTTCCTCTAGCTGGATATCTTCCTCATAGTTTATACAATCTATATTTCCCCAGGTGTTTTTTAGCTCTCCAGAGAACCAGGCATGAAACTTTTGTTTCATATTAAGAATAGTGTAAATAGAACCTCAAATTAGTGCTAAGACTTATTTCAGGCCAAATTAAATCACCTCCATATTTTACAACAGCAAGAATTTTTTAGCTCCACTGAAAGTTTCTGCAATGCTAAGTTTATGTCTAGATATTGTCCTTAATTTAAGAACCCAGAACGTCTTTAAAAGTAGTAGCTGTCCAATTACACATTGCTTGTTACCAGTTCTTCACCCCATCACAGTCTGGAAGTGTCATCTCCTGAAAGTTTATGGCATTTAACTGGATTAAAAGTAGCACTTCATGACAGTGATCCATGAAAGCGAATGAACCTTTCACAAATGCTAACACAGTGCTGCATAATCTATAATGGTGTTGTCTTGTGCTTGTACTCTTTTACATAATATATACTTGACACAAGAACTGCTTTTCATTTCTGTAATACACCAGTATCTCACCTTCGATACTTTTAAAATGCTGGTGCATTAATAGATATACACATACAAACCAACATCTTGTAGGTGTATTTCTATACACAAGCGTGCATGTGGATACATATGTACAGGTGTACATGCATATTTATGTATGTGCATATTTAGAAGCAGATCTAACATGGAGAAAAAACCCAGAGGGTGACAGGCTATAGCTTCCCCTACAAATTACTCCTCAGTAGAAGAGGAGGAGTGAGCATGCTGCTATGCTGCTTTTCATCACCAAGGCCATTATGCATCCAACGTGGTATGGATGTACATGCAGGTGTGTATGCACATATAGACATACTCAGCTATACACCTTCCAGAGTACATTTAGTCAAAATCTAAATGAGTCATCTAATTAATCTTTTAAACACACACACAAAGAAATGTTTTGCTTGAGCTATGGGGTGTAAAACATAATCAACTTATTAGCATATAGAATAGTGCTAAAGGTTATTGCTACCAGATGACGGAATGGCCTTGGGAAACATCTTAACTCCCTGCCTTGAAATGATAAATAATGAAAGAGCATTATATATGCCTCAAACTGCTAATACCTCTCTTGCCTTCTTGGACACCCTGGATTACACCCACTTCTGCTTAAAAATGCATATTTTTTCATGCCTTGATATAATGGATAAAGATAAAAGGGTGTGTGTGTGTAAATAAAAATATAACAGCAATAATTACAGTGTAATCTTATACCTCTACAATAGAAGCCCCTAATACCTCAGGGGCAAAATAAAACCAGCTGCAAAACACTAAAGCAGAAGAAACCCATATATGAAATCCTGGCTTCTCCTGCTGGAATGAGGATTTGGCATGAAACACTCGTATCGATTTCCAGTGGAAAGGGCTCTGTCCCACCAGGTGCTGAAGAGCATCAGCTAAGGTACCACACACTCTCCATGTCCACTGTCTCCCTCAAAAATGCTCTCGCTTCCCAGTCTCACAGGAACCACTTGGTGCAGCCCAGGAAGGTGCTTTACACTGCCATGAATCAGAGCTCATTTATTGCACTGGAACCCAGAGGAGAAGCCCACCATCCTTCTTACTTCTTTTTTTACCCCCTCCTGCAAATTTTCTGATTTCCCTTTCCCCAATCTCCAGAAAGGTTTCTCCCAGGGAAGAGGCGATACCTGCAAGCAGTTAGGGACACCACTAACCTGCTGCCTTTTAACAAAACCTTTACTTACCAAGCCACACAACTTAAACCGGTGCTCTACTACATTTAAAATGCTCTGGCTTGTTCACACAACAGTTAAATCCTTTGCATCTCTTCAGCTTACCCAACAAAGCCTCAACAGTGTAAATAAATCACATTTTGCAAATCAAGCAACACACCCAAACTTCCAGGCCATACCTCCATCCTTTTCGATCTGAATTGCCAGTCTGGTGTTGGAATGGTCCGATCTTTTGGTGCTGGAAATAAAGACATGTTGTACAGCCAATTCTTTTTTCTTTTGTTCTTAAATAAGACTCTCCTAAAATCACATTTGTATTTTCTTTTTAACATACCTTCTCTCTGTGTGTTTACATCATGCAGTTCACACTCTAATCCATTCATCAAGTTTATTCCAAGTAGGCATATATGTAGTTAGTTCAGTTCAGCATTGATATTGCAGCTTATCAGCACACAGAAGTGTCTGTGTGTCCGTCCCCCCCCGTCCCCTGTCTCCCTCCTCAAACTCTCTCTTCCCCATTTTCCTTCTTCTGGGGCAGAGAATCTGTGGTATGCAGTACACAGGCACATGCCACCAAAACAGTGAATAGGAAGAATATTAAATAAGTCTTTCCTCCTTTCTAAACCCTAAGGAAAACAGCTGGACTCAAGGGGTTTTCTTTGTGTGAAAGTATTTCCGTGGGTATATAACATACATGGAAAAACAACAACAACAAAAACCACGTAACTCAGTTTCATGTTTAGCTACGGAGCAGTGAGAGAGTCTCTGGTCATTCTTATTGCTTGAAAAAAAAAGAAAAAAGTAAATTACAGGCTCTTAGTCCATATAGATGATAACCCTGCCCTCTTATGAATGACACATTCCCTGTTCAGTGTTTTCATTGTAGCAGTGGAATATAAATACCATAGGAAAAATGGTTACAAAAGAGAAAGCAACTAAAGGTAGACTGGATTGAACTTTTAGTCCTACCTGTAATAAAAGACACTAAGTCTGAAAAGAACCAACAAGTAAAACACTGTGTCCAGAAGAAGGGTGTGATGTTGTGGTGACTAGGGATATTCAACACCAGAAGTCCACAGATCTCCCAAGCCTTGAAGGGTACAAGTGAAAGCCTGGCTAACAGAAATACTATAGTAAATGTAATTTTCCCTGAAATACTGTTCTGGCAGCAGGGCTTTAGGATTTCAGGACACTTCATAAAGAACACTGCCTCAGAAATCTTGCCCTCAATCCCTAGCCTTAGTAGGTCTACCAATCAGTAAATATTCCTTGGAAAAAGGGGTTAAAGCAGAGAATGGGAAAAGACAAAGCCATTTACTCCAAACAGCAGTCAGCATAAGGTTACATGTGACAGTGGCGAGAGTCTAATCTGTCCAACAGCCTGCAAACACAGGAGGAAAGTGCCAAGGCAACACCACCCCTGGCACTGGAACCAAGGGAGACACCCAGGCATGGTCCTGGGCAGCACAGCCAGGCAGGACGGGCTGGCTCTGGCTCACTAGGGTGGGAAGCACAAAGCACTGTGGAGTTTCTGAATGGGCTGATGGTTGGCCAGTCAGCTTGAAAAGCCTGGATACACTCACTATGAGACCTGCATGAAGACTGCATCAAAGAGGGTATATATTGTATGGGAGGCTTTTAAACAGCTTAAATAACATTGCAAAAGGATGGTGCAAATCCAGCACAGCGTTGTCTTTGAAGCACAGCAGAGATCCCCTGGGAATCTGTATGTACTCATCTCAGTATTGGCTCCTAGGTGTCAATGTACAGGTTTTTTAAAAGGATGGAAGTTTCAGGGCTATAAGGTCATGCTGAAGCCAGCTGGGAGAAGGATGCCATTGATGTCCCTAATGTTGGAAAGCCTTTTCATCCACCCTTTAAAGCCTTCCCTAAAAGCTGTGGAAAACTGACCAACAGAAAAATTGCACACAGGCTTCCACAAGTAGAAGAGGAACAGAACGGCTTTACTTTCACTCACTATAAGCAATGCAATGTTTTTTTTCTGCTTTAAAAAGGAATGTTCTTTACTTTGCAAGAAATACAGTTGAAAAGAATATGAACCTTAATTAGAATTATTTGTAATTAGCATTAGTACATTATCTACATTGATTAGCATTTTATTTGATGTATTATTTATCTTCCTGCCTCTGGTTGGCTCAGCTTATTGTAACTGCAATTTTCATTTCCTCAGCAACAGAAAATGGCAATGTGGGGTGGGGGAGAGGGCCTTCTAAGCAGTTCAGAATATAAAGAATGATTTTACTTCAAAAGGTTGTCAGAATTCTTCTACCCTGATATACATCCACCTGCAATTGCAACATATGCAAGAGTAAGCATAAAGATTAGGTTATGGAATTCAATCAATTTTCTATTCTCAGCAGAGAAATGCTGCTGATTTCCAAATGAATATGTTTTAAGATTATGAGGCTCCTTATTAATTTTCAGTCCTTCTGAAATGAGTGTGGCAGTATGAGGTACAAGCCAATACTATTCTTCACCCCAATTTTTTACCAACCTATAAAGCATTTCTGTTCTTGAGGCATATTGAGACCTATACAAATCAAGCAATACTTCAGAAAATTCTAATCTATAATGAGTAGGAATCCTTTTGCCCAGCATGCAGCTCTGGCTCCATTTCTTTCCTTTTTATTTTTCTTTGAGAGAAAGATGCATGATACAATCAAGGAAAATCACGAGTGCTTCAGGACACTCTAAGACAGATAATGCAGCATGACTGGGAAAAAGGGAAAGAAACAGAACAACTCTCACCAACAAAACAAAACCAGGATTGCAGCTTTAACTTCCATTCCAAGCACAGTCATGGTTGCTTAAGCAGCTAAAATATGGGCCTCAGGACATGAGACAAGGAAGGATTTACCTTTTCAGATGCTATGAGAAAACCTCAAATCTTTAGACATATTTTGAAGATTTTTTAAATTATTATTATTTTTTAAGACCAAAGGTAATAGAGGTGTAAAGCAAACTCCTCTCCCGAAACTCCATTAGTTGAATAAATCCAGTCACATAATCCATTTTGGACTTTAAAACTCTTCCACAATTATTAGTAACCAAAGGACCTTCTTGAAGGCAATGGGAATTTGCATAACATTAAACTCCAATGCACCATGCCTAACAATCAAGTCAGGGACACCTTTCCTCCTGGGCTTTTCACTGTCAACTAGGACCTCCTTAAGTGTTCCAGTGGGTGACCTGTGCTTTCCTCCAGTGAAATCTTACTTTAAATTTGGTTGTTACCACTCATCCAGGGTGATAATTAGCTCAGTAATTGAATTTCTTACTAAATTTCATTATTCTATGCAAACCGAGTGCAGGTCCTTCAGCACTTGCCCGAGAGAGCAAGTGATTGTTTAAAGTCAACATCTGCTTAGTTCCTGAAATATCTGTCTCATGCTCTTTCAATTCATCATTTACATGGGCACTGAGATAATCCTCTGGTTTGCATAGCACCGTTCATGCCATTATAACTACCACTTTCCTTTGAAAAAGGATGAAGCCACTTTTACTCGCCTTGTCCCAAAATACTGCCTTGTTTTTCAACCTGGGAAGACTTTCTTCTTTCACTTTACTCTCCCAGTTTCCTTAGCAAGCTAGGAAAAAGACTGAGGGGGATTCAGCACCCTGGGGGAACATACAGTGGATGGTGAGAATTGGGGAATTTGAGGAGTAAAAAGAAAAGGTTATTGCTGTGCTTATTTCCAGAAGATAAAAATAAAATTGCAGCTGTTCTATCTGCACTGCTGGTGCTGGTTTTTGCCCCAAAACACCAATTCAAGAGTTCCAGGCTTCCTGCTGTGAAGTAGGGGATCTCTACTTTGAAAGAGAACAAAAGAAAAGCAGTTCTTCTCTGGGGGATACAAGAGATGCATTTCTAGGGTAGATTCAAAGTTTTTCTTTGTCTACGCCCAATGAATTTTAATCTGCCTTTCCATGACATCTAACAGGAAAATCTAAGACAGAAACTCTACTATGCTGCAGCCCTATTATTATTATTCTTCATGGGAGTCTTGAAAAAAATCTTCAACATTTCCATGTGAAAAAATCTTACACTGCTGGCACTATAAATGGAAGGCTTAGCATTAAAACACAGTGGTAGTAGTAGGCTACAACAGTGAGGCAGGAGGGAGAATCAGGAGATGGCAGAATAAGCAGGCATCCATGAATATTTGAAGGACACCAGAGGCTAAAACGATGGTACTAATTGGAAGTGTGAGGACGCCCAAGATGTTCGAATTCAATTTCATCTAAAACAAAGAATGATTTCAGTGTTACGGTAACAGCAAAGGCTGACAGCCCCTTTGTGCATAACCATGCCCATGTTTTCTGGGCAGCTGCATGCAAGATATGCCTTAGGTTTAACTCACATTGATAAAGATCTCTTAAAAATGAAAAAAACTTCTCCTTACTGATCACTTTCTCTGATTCTTATTTTTTATGCTTTTTTTCCTCCCCTCCTTCCTTGACTGCTCCAGTGTTTCATCTAACAATAATAAAAAGTGACTTTGATTGCACACTAGGAAACTGGGAGAAGGCTGAGAGATAAAGTTGATAAAGACAATGCTGTTGAATAATCCTTTTAAAACATTGGAAGATCTTATCAACAATTGTTTTTGAGCTTAAAAAGGTGTTTATAAACTATGCTGACAACTTCTTGGGTTTGGTTTTCAGGTTTTTTTTGTGGTTCGTGTGATGCTCATACTGCTGGCTTCAGCTCATACTACTGTTAGGTGCTCATACTACTGAGCATGTTTATTTGGTGTATTTTAGGTGCTCATACTACTGAGCATGTTTATTTGGTGTATTCTTAAGCCTTTTCTTAAGATGAGGTTTCTGTGCTCTTGCAGCAATAGGGAGAGGTGTGAATTTGAGATAAAAAACTGAGTGCCCAAACACATATTAAGCATCCCACATCCATGCATATTCGAAGGTTTAGCTGGGGAATTCACCTCTTACTGTAAGCCAGGTTATTTAAACATCTGCATACTTTAAAATATTCACTAATGCTTTACCAAATTGTCATCAATATCCCTGCTTTTGTCTTATTTGTCTACCTTGCTACTTAATTATTTTTTTTCACTTGTCAAAGTATGTTTTTTCTTTTGAAAGCCATCTAGTCACTATCTTCATGTATTTTATATTAACCAATACAAGAAACTTTACAAGTGGAAGGATTATGCCAATTGCACAGAGATGTCTGTACTCATTCTTGTGTCAGTGAAA